AGACCATGGCCCTCCAACCCCAAAAAACCGGGGGGGGACCACCCGGGTTTTTCCCCGGCCCGGGTTTTCACTTCCCAAAGCGGAAACCCCCGTAAGTTTTTGGGCAATTCCCATAAAGGGTGCCCTCCTCCCTCTAAAGGGTTTTGGCCTTTTTTTCTTTTTTTCTTTGTTTCGGGACAAAACCAAGTTATAATTAATTTTTTTTTTTAAGCTTTCCCCTCCAAAAAAAAGTGGGGAACTAAATTTTTTTTCGGGGGTTTTCCTTCCCAAAAAAATTGGAAAGCGTGGATAAACCCCCTGGGGGGTCTTTACCAAATTAAACACACCGGGGATTTTTCCCTTTTCCCGGGAGGGGGGTTTTTCCCCCCCCCCAAAAAAATTTTCCTCCCCCCCCTTTATTGTTTCCCGGGGGGGGGGGGGGGGGGGGGGGGTGATATCTTACGACACGCTTTTGGAAAGCTCTAGACGAGACGGTCCCAACACTGCTGGTATCGCCACCACCACTCTCGACTGCTGTGGAGCAACCGACCTACGAAAATCGGTCCAGGGGGGGGGTGATATCTTACGTCATGTCACCTACGGTAATACCAGTATGGTATGGTAATACGACTATGCTGCAAGGAACCCATGGTAACATAGAAAAACGGTCCAAAGGGGGGGGGGTGATATCATACGTCACGCGGTACATACCTAGTACCGCGAAGCCGAGAGATGGCACCCCTCTACTACAACCGACTTTCAAAGGTCGGTTGCTCCACGGCAAAGGGGGTGCAGAAAGAGCTCGGTAGTTCTACGGAAAGCCCTCGACGAGATGTTTCCAAAACCCCCACTCTTGGTACTGGAGAAATCGAGCTTTGAAAACCGGTAAAGGGCAGGTACCATCTCCCCGCCTCTTACGGAATACCACGGTACGGTATACGGCACGGTACGGTAAAGTACAGACAATCTTGGTAGTGGAGAAATCGAGCTTTGAATATCGGTCTAGGGGGGGTGCCATCTCTCCGCCTCTTACGAAATACCACGGTACGGTATACGGTACGGTACAGACAATCATGGTCGTGGAGCAATCGAGCTTTGCATATCGGTCTAGGGGGGATGTCATCTCTCCGCCTCTTACTGTATGCCCTAGACCCTATGTGGTCTGGCTGGAGAGGTCCCTCACCTGCGGCATCTCCTCCGTCTGCATCACATCCCACACTCCATCGCTAGCGATGACAACCTCTGCCCAATCCTCCTCGATCGTCAGCTCCAAGATTTCTTCGCAGTCGGGCAGGATGATGCCGGGGGTCCCTCCCAGCTCGGGCAGCCTTTTTTCGAGCAAA